CCAAACGAATGGAGAATCGCCATGATGAGCTTGTTGAGCGACTTCCAGGACCGGGCCAACTTGAACGCACGCGCAACGCGGAACGCGGTAAAGAGACCCGACCCGCCGGACGTGCCATCAATAAACGTCGGGGGGTTCAACATCGCTTCCACAATGCCCATGAGAAATGTGAAGAGGTCGAACCGGTTAAACTTGTCCCTAGTCACATATTAGCACAACAACGAACAGTCGTCAGGACGTACGCCCAGAAGGGTCGGAGCTCGAGCGCGATCATTTTCAAAAGCGACTCGATGCCGAAGTAGATCATAAAGGTAAAGTTCAGCACCTCGCAGTTGTACGCGAACGTGTAGCTCATCTCCGTGTGGTTGAGCGACATGACAAAGACGTTGCTCAGCGTGATGAAGATGCCGACCCGCCGGAACGCTGTCGTGAGCACGACCTGTCGAATGCGGAGCCGCCACTGGACGAGGCACCTCCGCCACGCCGAGGCGACAACAATGTCGGTCGAGTCTATTCGCTTGGACTGCGCCGCAGAGACGGGCGGCGGCGGCACCATCGAGAGACGTTTAATGACTTCGACGCTACATCATGCCTCAATGGACACAAGAACCATGTGATGGGTCGTACGCTCTTGCGTGGGCGGCCTTGGCTTGCTGGTCCTTGGCTTTCTCAAACTCAGTGAAGAGGACGGCCATGTTGAGCTGGAGCAAGAAGCACATGCCAATGATGAGGAGCAAGTTGAAGTAGATGGCGGCTAACGCTGGGTTGCCGACCCATTGCGCCTGTGCAAGCACCCATTAGCGACACCACAAGAGGATACAAGACGCACCGTCTCGGTCAGCGCCATCCAGCCGGACGCCGTCACGACTTGAAGGATGACCATGAGCGTGTTGCCGAGGTTGTCAAAGTTGGTGAGCCCGTAGTTTAGATTTGCATTGAACGTGGGTTCGCTCATGATGGAGAAATTGAGGAGCGGTCCTGCAATATCGAAAAAGCGCGCGTTCCCGTACGCGTCAAAGTTGGAGCCGCACGTTTGAGTCACGCTGCACGCGCGGCCGCCCGACGACGAGCAAAGTTGCGGCATTGGGAGGCCGCTGTCGAGCGGCCAAAAGCAATTGGCGCGTATATTCCACGTCTCGTCCACGAGGTACGCGGCCCCGTCGCTTTTGTTGCACCGATACCACGCGGGGTTGGCGACGACTTTGGCCAAGTACGCCGCGCTCACGGGGTAGGCGCTGGCGCCCGGTGGATTTAGCGCGTCAAATGGTAGCGCAACCGGGAAGGGTGTGAGGCGGCAGCGCGAGTGGAACGTGCCGCGCCAAATCTCCATACCGAGGATCGCAAACACGACGTAAATGAAGGCGAGCAAGATGGCCACGTTTCCGAGCGCTGGGAGACTGGCGAGGAGCGAGTTGGTGAGCACTTTGAGGCCTATAGCAAGGTCGCAGTCTCGCTTTAGCATATCGATGGTACCTGGAAAGGTGTGGAGCGTTCGAAGCGGTCGGAGGACGCGCAGCACGCGGACAAACCCGACTTTGATGTTGAACACCGACAGCATCCTACGCCAACTTGATCGATACTTGTGCATGGGGCATGAAGGCGTTGTACCCCGAGAGGACAATGATAAAGTCGAGTCGGTTCCAGCTGTCGAGCAAGTAGGCGCCGTCGCCAAAGATAAAGCCCATGGCGACGATCTTGATGCACATTTCCGTCACAAAAATGTAGAGGCTCACGCCATTCCACTGCTCGATGAGCTTGTTGACACCCATGTTGGGGTTGGGGCCCTCGGCCCACGCGTTCTCATAGTCGACGAGGCCCAGAATCACCGTGTTGCAGCATACGGCGAGGATAATGGCCCGATCAAACCACGGCGACTGGAGGATCTTGATACACACTCTTCGGACCGGGTGCTTGGCCGTGAGGCACCCGAGCGAGATACGCTGCACCTGCAAGAGGCATGTCAAGAATGTACATGTTTCGAAATGATGTACCGTGCACGGCTCTCGCAGCTTGCGCATCGTGCGCGGGAACTGGGAGGTTACGGTGCGGTCCGGCGCCATTGTCGTCTTGGCCCGACGCCGCTTAATATAACTTGAGACGTAACCGAGGCTGTTTTGACACCACTTTGAGAGAACGCACGGTTAATTTTGGATGGCATCGTGCGATCGCAAAGTGTTCTAAAACCTACTACGACTGGGGTGCGTGTCATTTCACGTGCCCTTCATGGAAGAACACATCGAGTCGTCGGGGCGCAAGAGAGGTGCCTGGACGACGTCACTTGAGCAATGCTCGTCAACAATCTACCGGTACTATCCGATTGTCTAACTACACAATCCATTGTCGCGGGGTTTTTATCTCGGGAAGGCAAGAGTATCAACTCCAGGCCATCGAGGCTTCAAGTGGGACCATGGTCCTTGACGACGGACTATGTGACAACTGCTTTGAAACAGACAATTACGACAGAGTATCTATCTACTCGCGGTGCGAGCAAGGGAGCTCGCCCGATCCTTGCATCAGCTCGATGAAAAATGATCGTTTTTTGGACTGCAGCGCGCCCGACAACTCTTCTGATTGTCCAACAAGAGCAAGAGTATGTTGAGTACATGGACTTATGGCTGAGTACCAGTACAAAGGAGGGAAATAATACTACTAGTCCGCAAAAGCCAACGCTAACGTCCCCGTCGGTGCCGTGTGATTGGTGCAAATCCTGTGGGGTCGTCGGACGCGATCTTGGAATGCATTGCTTGGATTGGCTGAAATGACGACCGTTTTCACCAATCGCACGAGGGTTTGCACGATCCATGCGTCGGTCGAAACCACCAGTGCGACCTTTCTACTTGCGCCTCTTCCGACTTCGCGGGGAATCGCATGAGCAAGTCGCCCGAGAGCTCCGATGGGGCGCCGGTCTCTGAGCCCTGGAGCGACCTCGACCGCTTCCAAGCGCTCTCCCGCGGCTCCGTGAACGAGTCCATGGCGGCCGCGCCGTCGGCCGACGCGCGGCGCAGTCCCATCCGAAAAGCGCGGCTCGACATCCTCCAGAGCTCGATCTTGACGCGGCAGAGCCAGCTCAGCACGCTCGAAGGCGGCACGAAGAAGCACAAGAAGAACACGGACGCCCACATCGCTGACCTCAAGGCGTCGCTGGGGCCGCTGGGCTCGCTCCAGGGCCCGCGTCGCCCCGACTCGTCGTCCGGGCGTCTCGTGTTACCCGCCGTGACGCCTCCGACGTCGGCCGACGCAATCGAGTCGCCCGAAGAGCGCATGTACTCGACGCTCAGCGATCGTATTGGCTCCAACTACACCATGACGACGCGGAAGCTCACCAAGGACGACGTTGCTCGCGTCGCGCTCAGCATGCCCGTCATGGTCCGTGAAAAGCCCAAGGACTTGCGCCCTGGGTTTAGCCCCAAGAAAAAGGCGATCGAGTACGTGGCTGTGGCGCCGGCGCTCGAGCGGTCGTTGGCGCAACTGACCAAGTCGGACGAGCTCTCGCCGTCGCCGCCGCCCAAATCGCCCTTTACGCAGCTCCCATCGGCCGATGTCAAGGCCAACGTGTCTCTCTATCCGTCCGGGTCCCGCGCCTTCCAGCGCCACTTGGCGGAAAACCCGACGCACCTTTTTAAGAAGCCGTCGCCGACTAAGAGTCCACCCAAGAAGAACAAGATTGTCCTCAACGTTGGCAGCCCGGTGGCGCCGGTGGCACGGCGCTTGGCGCCCATGGTCCTCAAGCCGCTGACGTCCCGGACGCTGGAGCTCGACTCGGCCGCGTATGAAGCTTCGACCACCAACTACTGGCGCGCGGTCGAGGCGTACATCGCGCGCGGGTGTCCGCCCATGGCGGATGCGATTCCGGTCGAGATTTTACAGCGACTGCAGCTCCCCGCGCCGCCGTTCCGGCACGACAAGGCCCTTTTAGCGCAGAACACAGCCACGTGCGAACACCTCTTGACCGAGATGTTTGACGCGGTGTATGCGTCATACAACACGGCGATCGCGCGCGCAATGCTGCAGTACGACCTTTTGGAAGACACAAACGCGGCGCGGCTCGGCATCGTGCCGGCCTACCTCCACGCGACGCCCAAGTGGTGGAGCGACGAGACGTACCAGTCGTTTCAATGGAGAGTCCTTCGGGAGACAGGCGTCGACGCGACCGTGATCCGCGACAGCGCCGAGTACATTGAGGTGTTTTTGCACACGGCCGACCCGGCCATGCTCGCGCTCCAAGCGCAATGGCTGCACGAAGGCCCGCCACCCGACTGGGAGGTACAGCGAGAGCGCACAATATACATGCTAACGCCTCGCGTCTAGATTCGAGACAACCCGTTCGTTCCGTACCACGAGCTTCTCTTTACGGACGTGTTGACACCCGGGTTTCGGTCGTCGTTGCCGCGCACGGTGCCCAATTTTGTCGATCACATTAGCCGCCGCGTCGACGCGGTCAAGGAGTGCCTCCGGACGTACTGGATTCCTGCCAGCGCTATGAAGGTCGATGCGTTCTTGCCGCTTGCGCCGGATGCGCCGGTGCGCGATCCGCGCGGCGACCTCCCGCTGCCCGAACCATTGGTATGTTTCCTCTCGCTCCGCAACGATTCCATGTCTTGTCTGCTGCATAGCACGCCGGTACCAATGGCAGCGCGGCCAAGCTGTTTGCGAACCGCGTGGCGCTCGAGGGACTTGACGCTCGCCACGCGGCCGCGCCAAAGACCTCGGCCGACACGTTGGTCGAAGACGACCTCTTTCGCTTCAACCACCACATTGGCGTGTTGAACGCTGCGTCGGTGCTCATGTCGCGCCAGCTGCGCGAGACCGTCGACGCCTCCGTGCTCGCGTTTCAAGCCTTTTTCGAGCAATTTTCGACGCCTGCGCTCGACGGCGAGGCTGCGCTCGTCCTCGCCGTGCAGTGCTTTGACGCCCCCAGCGCCGGGTTTGCGCTCGACCCGCCGGCCGACGCGATGGAGATGACGCTCCTGCACTGCGTCGGCATGCTCGTGGACGCGGTCGCGATCTTTCCGCGCATCGATTCGCACACGAGTGTGCCGGTGCGCATCCGCAACAAGGCGTCGCTCGGGCCGTGCACGCTCGGCACGGGCGATCCCTTCGTGCTCTCGGCCAAGAAAGCCGTGCGCCAGGCACTACAGCGGCACTTGCGTGAGCCCGAAGGCGTCCTCGCTCGCTTCGCACCGTTTCTGACGCTCCTCAATGGCTCGACGGACCGGCATATCGCCCATCTCTTGGAGCAGCCGGTCGACTTGGGGGCGCTCCGGGCCGAGCTCGCGGCGCTTCGATCGATCGACGACGCGATTTTGGCCGAGATTGCCGACCAGTATACGTTCTCGCTCTTCGCCGTGTCGTGCGTCACGGCCAAAGATTGCCTTCGCGCCAAAGCGAAAGAGTGCGCGTCCGTGTTGCTCGCGCGCGTCTCGGCCGAGAACGTCAAGCGCATGAATGCGATGGGGGCGCAGTACGAAGCCATTGTGCAGACGCTCATGGCCGACCCGTTGGACTCGGTCGAGCTCAAGAGCCTCCAAGCGTTCTACGAGTCGAGTATGGCGTCGCTCAATGCGCTCCAAGACGAGCTCGTGAACGACGTGCACACAGCGATTCGGTTCTTGACCGAGCACCACTTTGCCATGTCCCGCGACGACATTCAGCTCTTTTATGTCACGTACCGCTGGCCCGATACGATCGCCAACTTTCAGCGCAAGTCGCTCGAGCGGCAGCGCGAACGCAAGCGGGAGCTCGAGCTCGTCGTGACAGCTCGCCAAGAACACCTGCTCAGCACGTTTGCGACGTGTCAGCGCAAGATCGAAAAGATGCGCGAGGCTGGCAACATGGCCGACGCTGCCAACGTCACCAAGCGCATCGAGGGCATCAACAAGCTCATCGCCGAAATCGACGACGAAGCCAGCAAGATCCGCGACCAAGAGACGCTGCTCGGCATGGAGCTCACGGACAACGAGACAAGCATCAAGGAGCTCCAAGAAATGCTCGCCCCCATGGACAAACTCTGGTCGACCGGTAAACATCTCTTGCGTCGAGACGCACGCGCATCCTCGATATGACTAGTGTTTCAATTCAGCGAGCAGCTCAACCAGTGGCGCGGACTGCCGCTCTACATGGTCAACGCCGAAGACGCCGAGCGCGAAGCCGACGGGTTCCGACGCAATGTCGTCAAGGTCATTCGCGACTGCGAAAAGGTGCGTCCATACCAAATGTATTAAAGACTATTCAGCGCATGACGGCTAGATTGGCGAGAGCTTAGAAGCGCCGACCGAAGTCGCACGCGCGGCCAAGAAGATGCTCGATGAAATGCTCGATGCCCACGTGCCGCTCATGCACCTGATTTGCACGCCGGCGCTCTGTGCGCGGCACTGGTCCGAGATCGAGGCCATCACGAAACTCGACTTGCAGACGCCAGGCGGCGACATGACGTTGAGCCACATGCTGGACGCGGGGCTGCACAAGTTCACCGCGCAAATCGAAGACATTTGTGTCGGCGCGGCCAAAGAATACTCGCTCGAGCAAGCGCTCGACAAGATGGAGCACGAGTGGGAAGGCATCGAGTTCCACACCAAGCCGTACCGCACGACCGGCACGTCGATTCTCTTTGGCACGGACGAAATGCAGCAGCTCTTGGACGACCACATGGTCAAAATTCAATCGATTCGCGGCTCGCGCTACAACAAGCCGTACTTGGAGCGCATTGGGCGCTGGGAGAAAACGCTCGTGGCGGTACAAGACATTACCGACCAGTGGCTCAAGGTCCAAGCGACGTGGCTGTACCTCGAGCCGATCTTTAGCAGCGACGACATCATGCGGCAAATGCCCACCGAGGGCATGCTCTTCAAGCGCGTCGACGCCACGTGGCGGCACAATATGGAAGAAACCATTCTCGAGCCAGAAGCCACCAAAGTCGCACTGCGCCAAGGCTTGCTCGAGACGCTCCAAGAGTCCAACGCCGACCTCGATACGATCCAGAAAGGACTGAACGAGTACCTCGAGACGAAGCGCCTGTACTTTCCGCGGTTCTTTTTCCTCTCGAACGACGAGCTGCTCGAGATTCTCGCCGAGACGAAGGACCCGTTGCGCGTCCAGCCCCATCTAAAGAAAGCGTTTGACGGCATCAACCTCCTCGAGTTCCAGCCCAACCTCGACATTACCGCGATGCTGAGTCCCGAAAATGAAAAAGTCCCGTTCCTCTTCGACAAGATCTCACAATCGCCCATCAACCCCAACAAGACGGGCGGCAATGTGGAAATTTGGCTCCAGGAGGTCGAAATCACGATGCGCAAAAGCGTCGCGTACCACGTGGATCTGAGCATGGCCGACTACGCGACCAAAGATCGGCTCACGTGGGTGCAAGAGTGGCCGGGTCAAGTCGTTCTTGCCATCAACCAGACCGTGTGGACGCAGCAAACGGAGGCCGCGCTCGATGGCCCCAAAGATGCTCTCGTGCAGCACTCCCAGGTTCGCTTATACGCGGGGTGCGACGTCGTCATGTTCTTGGGTCGTAGATGCTCAAAGACGAACTCCTTCGCACGGTCGAGCTCGTGCGTGGCCAGCTGCCCAAGCTCACGCGCATTACGCTCGGTGCGCTTGTCGTCATGGACGTGCACAACCGCGACACCATCGCCGAGCTCGTCACGCTCAAGACATCGGACAAGCTCGACTTTGACTGGCTCGCGCAGCTGCGCTACTACTGGGTGGCGGGCGGAACATCGGCCGCGACGGGGAAACCGGGCACGCTGCAGTGCCGTATGATCAATACGTTAGCGCTGTACGCGTTCGAGTACCTCGGCAACTCGATGCGGCTCGTCATTACGCCGCTGACCGATCGTTGCTACCGCACGCTCATGGGGGCTATTCATTTGAACCTCGGGGGGGCGCCGGAAGGGCCAGCCGGCACGGGCAAGACCGAGACGACCAAGGATCTCGGCAAAGCCATTGCGATCCAGTGCGTGGTGACCAACTGCTCCGACGGTCTCGACTACCTCGCGATGGGCAAGTTCTTCAAGGGTCTCGCGTCCAGCGGCGCGTGGGCGTGCTTTGATGAGTTCAACCGCATCCAGCTCGAAGTGCTCAGTGTGATTGCCCAGCAGATTCTCTGCATCCAGATCGCCAAGGCGCAAAACGCAGCGACCTTTATGTTTGAGGGCACCCTCCTTTCGCTCAACCCCACGTGCTGCCCGTTCATTACGATGAACCCTGGTACACATCTCGCCATCTCCATATCGTAGCCAACACCATCGGGTAGGGTATGCGGGGCGCGCTGAGCTGCCCGACAACCTCAAGGTGCTCTTCCGCACCGTGGCCATGATGGTGCCCGACTACGCTATGATTGCAGAGATTATGCTCTATTCGTACGGCTACATGGAGGCGAATGCACTCTCCAAGAAGATTACGACCACGTATACCCTTTGCTCGGAACAGCTCTCTTCGCAATCGCACTACGACTACGGCATGCGGGCAGTCATGGCCGTGCTGCGAGCTGCAGGCAACCTCAAGCGAAGCGAGGGCCACCTTCAGGAAGACACACTCGTCTTGCGCTCCATCATTGACGTCAACTTGCCGAAATTCCTGAGCCCTGACGTCCCGCTCTTCAACGGCATTGTCTCGGACCTCTTCCCGGGCGTCGTCGTGGACCCGCCCGACCGCACCGACATGCTACGTGCGATCAACGACGCGTGCAAAGCCATGGAGCTCCAGCCCGTGCCCAACTTCATCGAAAAGGTCATTCAGATTTACGAAATGATGATTGTCCGGCACGGCTTTATGGTCGTGGGCATGCCCTTCTCGGGCAAGTCGAGTTCGTGGAAGGTGCTCGCTGACGTTTTGGAGCGCCTCCACAATCAATTTCCTGAAGATACACGGTACGGGACTTGTCGAGCACATTAGGTAACATTCCTTGCATGTAGGTACACGCCCGTGGTCGTGGCCGTCATCAACCCCAAGTCGATCACGATGGGCCAGCTCTACGGGCAGTTTGACGACGTCTCGCACGAGTGGACCGACGGTGTCCTCGCCATCAACTACCGCAATCTGGCCACGAGTCCGACGCCGGACCGCAAGTGGCTCCTCTTTGACGGCCCCGTCGACGCGGTGTGGATCGAAAACATGAATACGGTCCTCGACGACAACCGCAAATTGTGCTTGATGAGCGGCGAGATCATTGCGATGAGCCCCGTCATGAGCATGATGTTTGAGCCCATGGACCTTCTCGTCGCATCGCCTGCCACTGTCTCGCGCTGCGGCATGATCTACATGGAGCCCGAGCAGCTCGGGTGGCAGCCGCTCGTCGACTCGTGGCTGGATCGTAGCGTGGTGCTGCCACCGGACGCCGACCCCAAGCTCCACCTCGTCTTGACCGACGACCAGCGCAGCACCATCCGAACGCTCTGCGCGTGGCTCGTCGATCCGTGCATTGCGTTTGTGCGCAAGGAGCTGGTGGAGCTCACGCCGACAGTCGACGCGAATCTCGTGCAGAGCTTACTGCACATCTTGGAGGCCGAGTTGCTTACGCTCAAGCCGGCCGACATTGGTACCAAGAAAGGTTTACAGCACCTCGAGAGCATCTTCCTCTTCGGTTTGCTTTGGTCGGTCGGGTGTACCTCCACGTCGGAGGGCCGCGTCCGGTTCTGCGATTTCTTGCGCAGTTATATGGAGTCCATGGGGGTGCTCAACGCCAAGTACATTGTGGTCGGCCGCGCGCTCACAGTGCGCAAGTGGGCCAAGCCATCGTTCGACACGTATGCGCTCACGCTTGCGCTCCCAAATAAAGGCAATCTGCACGACTACCTCTACAGTGTGGACGACGCCAAGTGGGTGCGTTGGGAAGACACGCTGCGAGAGTACGTCATTCCGCCCAACTCGCCGTTCAGCACGATCGTTGTCCCCACGATTTACACGGCGCAACTCGAAAACCTTGTCAAGCTCCTCGTCTCGTCCAAGCGCAAGGTGCTCGTGTGCGGCCCCACGGGTACCGGCAAGAGTTCGTACCTCAATGCGATATTGAACGAGCGCCTCAGCCCCGACAATTTTTCCGTCATCATGCTCTCGTTCTCGGCGAAAACGTCGGCCAATATGACGCAAAACATCATTGACGGCAAGCTCGATAAGCGGCGGAAGGGCGTGTACGGTCCACCGGTCGGGAAGGATGGTATCGTGTTTGTCGACGATCTCAACATGCCCATGATCGAGACGTACGGGGCACAGCCGCCAATCGAGCTCATGCGGCAGCTCGTCGACTCTGGCGGGTGGTACGACCTCAAGGAGATGGCGTGGCAAAAGATCATCGACACGATCGTCGTCACGGCCATGGGACCGCCGGGCGGTGGCCGCAACACGATCAGCCCGCGCTTCCAACGGCACTTTAACGTACTCTGCTTCTCCGAGTTTGACGACGCGACGCTCGCGCGCATCTTTTCCACGATTGTCAACTGGTACTTTACGAGCAATCCGTTCATTTCGGAAATCCGCAAGCTCGCCGACGCCGTGGTTAATGCGACGCTCGAGACGTACCAAAACGCCATGAAGGTACGCCGCGTCGCAACTCCCCAGGACACTGATGGCACTGTGTACAGGTGCTCCTTCCGACGCCAAAAAAGTCGCATTATACGTTCAATTTACGGGATTTTTCGCGCATTATTCAAGGCATCATGCTCGTGACGGCGGCCGACGACTTTAACACGACGAGCCTCGTCAAGCTATGGGTCCACGAGTCGCTGCGTGTCATTGGCGATCGGCTCATTGACGACGAAGGCCGCACGTGGTTTTGCGACTTCCAGCGCAAAATGGTCGCCAAGCACTTCAACACCAACTTTGACAAAGTCCGCGATCACAAATTTGATGTCGTCGAGCTTATTCTATCCATAATACTAGGTATTTGCGCCGCTCAAGCGCGGCCGCGATGGCATCGTGATGCCCCACGACATGCGCAACCTCTTCTTTGGGGATTATCGCGACCCCGACGCATCCCCGCGTCTCTACAAGGAGATCGACGTCCACTCGACCGGTGACGTCGACGGCATTGCCCAGCTCATTGCGTGCTTGGACCAGTACCTTGCCGAGTTCAACGCTGTGTCGCGCAAGCCGATGAATTTGGTCATGTTTTTGTTTGCGATCGAGCACCTCTCGCGCATTGCGCGCGTCCTCAAGATGCCCCGCGGCAATGCGCTGCTCGTGGGCGTCGGTGGCAGTGGCCGACAAAGCCTCACGCGCCTTGCGGCGTTTATCATGGACTATGAAGTCAAGCAGATTGAGATTGCGAAAAACTACACGATGACCGAGTGGCGCGAAGACATGAAGTATGTGCTCAAGACCGCGGGCATTGGCGCGCGGCCGCTCGTGTTTCTCTTTAGCGACACGCAAATCAAGTACGAGGCGTTTGTCGAGGACATCAACAACATGCTCAACTCGGGCGAAATCCCAAATTTGTTTCCGTACGACGAGCGCGTCGGGCTCTGCGAAGGCGTGCGGATTCACGCCAAGGAGAAATTTGGGAAAATCGCCGGCGACATGACGCCCGCCCAGCTCTACGCGTTCTTTGTGCAGCGCGTGCGCCAGCAGCTCCATATCGTGCTCGCGTGCTCGCCGATCGGTGACGCGTTCCGCGACCGGCTCCGGAAGTTTCCGTCCATGATCAACTGCTGCACGATCGATTGGTTCACGGCGTGGCCCGCTGACGCGCTCGTCGCGGTCGCCGAGAAGTTTCTGCGCGACGTGCAAATGGAGTCGGACGCGACACGCCGCGGCATCGTCGACACGTGCCAGTACTTTCACGTCCAAGTCGAGAGTCTGAGCGATACGTACCTCCAGTGCCTCCGCCGGCAAAACTACGTGACGCCGACGTCGTACCTCGAGCTCATCGTGGCCTTCAAGACCTTTCTCGGGCAGCGACGCGAGAGCGTCATGAAGGCCAAGCTCCGGTACGAAGTCGGCTTGGAAAAAATTCAGTTTGCCGAAGCCAACGTGAGTGTCATGCGCAAGGAGCTCGTCGACATGCAGCCAATTCTCGATCGGTCGACAAAAGAAACAGCGGTACAAACCCAAGAGCTTCCTCTCTTGGGTGGTGATTATGTTGCAACCTGGGTGTAGGCGCTCATGGAGGAAATCCAAGCCAAGTTACCGGGCGTCGAGAAGACGCGCGCCGAAGTCCAAGCCGACGTGGCGGTCGCCGATGCGTCCAAAGCGCAGTGCGAGGTCCAAAAAGCTAGCGTTGAGGCCGACTTGGCCGAGGCTGTGCCCGCGCTCGAAGAGGCTCTCAAGGCCCTCGACACGATCAAAGCGTCCGAAATCAACGAAGTCAAAGCCATGGCCAACCCGCCGGCTGGCGTCAAGCTCGTGTGCGAAGGCGTGTGCGTCATGCTTGGCATCAAGCCCGCGCGCATTCCCGACCCCGCGGACCCGAGCAAGCGCATCATGGACTTTTGGGGCCCGTCCCAAAAGATGCTGAGCGATCCGACATTCATCCAGCAGCTCAAAAAATTCGACAAAGACAACCTCGACCCAAAAATCATGAAGGTATATAGTGTCTCGGCGACAGAGGTACAATTTTGTCTGTCGTAGGTCGTCGTCTCCAAATACATTGCCGACGAGAATTTTAGTCCCGAAAAGGCCGAAAAAGCGTCCAAGGCCGCCGCTGGGCTTTGTAAATGGGTGCATTCGATGGCGCTGTACGACAACGTGAGCAAGGTACCATTTCTTATTTACCTTGAATTTGTTATCAACTAATAAAATGCGGTGTAGATCGTCGCGCCCAAGCGCGAAGCCCTCGCGGTGGCCGAGAAGCTGCTGCAAGAGACGCTCGAGAGTCTCAACGAGAAGCTCGCGCGCTTGAAGGAGGTTGAAGACGGGCTCGCAAGTCTTCAGCGATCGTTCCAAGACGCCACCACCTCCAAGCAAAGCTTGGAAAGCCAGATCGAGCTCACGGGGAAGAAGCTCGTGCGCGCGGCGACGCTCATCGAAAGCCTTGGCGGGGAAAAGATCCGCTGGAAAGAGTTTAGCGCCCAATTGACGCTGCAGTACACCAAGCTCACGGGCGACGCGCTCATTTCCGCAGGCATTGTCGCCTACCTCGGTATTTGCTACGCCTATGTACTCGCGTGACTCAAATTTGAGCAATGTAGGGCCATTTACGTCCGTGTACCGGGCACAGGCGGTCTCGGCGTGGGTCGCCCGCTGCAAGGAGCTCGCGATTCCGTGCTCGGACCTGCCGTCGCTTTCGGGGACGCTCGGCGACCCGGTTCAGATCCGCAAGTGGAACATTGATGGCCTCCCGACCGACATGTTTAGCATCGACAATGGCATCGTAGTCTTTAACGCGCGCCGGTGGCCGCTCATGATCGACCCACAAGGCCAAGCCAACAAGTGGATTCGCAACATGGAGACCGAGCATGGGCTCAACGTCATCAAGCTCACGGACGGCGACTACCTCCGGACGCTCGAGAACGCGGTGCAGTTTGGCCGCCCCGTGCTCTTGGAAAATATTGGCGAAGAATTGGACCCGAGCTTGGAACCGTTGTTGCTCAAGCAGACGTTCAAGCAAGGTGGCACACTCTTCATTCGGCTCGGCGATGCCAACATTGAGTACAGCGAGAGCTTTCGGTTCTACCTCACGACCAAGCTCCGGAACCCGCATTACTTGCCCGAAGTGTCGGTCAAAGTGACGCTGCTCAACTTTATGATCACGCCGCAAGGGCTCGAGGACCAGTTGCTCGGAATCGTCGTTGCGCAAGAACGACCCGACTTGGAAGAGCAGAAAAACAAGCTCATCGTCCAGAGCGCCAAGAACAAGGCGCTTTTGAAGGAGATTGAAGACAAGACGTTGCACATTCTGTCGGCGTCCGAGGGCAACATCCTTGAAGACGAGACCGCCATCAACACGATGAACCAGGGCAAGCAGGTCGCCGACCAAATCAAGTCGGAGCAGGTCATTGCCGAAGCCACGGAGCTCGAGATCGACACGGTGCGCCAGGGCTACCGCCCGGTAGCCTACTCGTCGCAAGTGCTCTTCTTCTGCATCGACCAGCTCGCCAACATCGAGCCCGTGTACCAGTACTCGCTCTCGTGGTTCATTGCACTCTTTGTGCTCAGCATCAACCAAAGCGACAAGAGCACCGACTTGCACGAACGGCTCAAGCTGCTCGATGCGCACTTTACGTTTTCCTTGTACCGCAACATTTGTCGGTCGCTGCTCGAGAAGGACAAGCTCATGTTTTCCTTCCTCTTGACGATCTCCATCATGCAAGGCCGCGCCGAGATCGATGCGTCCGAGTGGTACTTCTTCCTCACGGGCGGGCTGGCAGTGGCCGAGACGCCTCCGCCAAACCCTGCCCCCGAATGGTTTGCCGACAAGCAGTGGAACGAACTCGTGCGTCTTTCAAACCTCCCGGCCTTTCCGGGGCTCGCGACCGAGTTCAAGACCTATGTCGACGCATGGAAGGCCATCTACGACAGTCCAACGGGGTACCTCATTCCTTTCCCCGGGTCATTTGCGGCCGTAACACCGTTCCGGCGGCTCCTTGGCATCCGCTGCATTCGACCGGATCTCGTCGTCCTCGCCGCGCAGCAGTTCGTTGTCGAGACGATGGGCGACGCGTTCGTCAAGCCCCCGCCGTTTGACCTCGGGCTCTGCTACAGCGACTCGTCCGTGAGCTCGCCCCTTGTGTTTATCCTCTCGCCGGGCTCGGACCCGATTAGCTCGGTCCTCAAGTTTGCCGACGCGAATCGGCAGCGCATCGACACGATTTCGCTGGGGCAAGGCCAAGGACCCATTGCCGAGCGTATGATCGCGCTCGCGATGGAAACCGGGTCGTGGGTCGTCTTGCAAAACTGCCACTTGGCGCCGAGCTGGATGCCGACACTGGAGCGCATCACGGAGAGCGTCAAGCTCGAGACGACGCATCCAAACTTTCGGCTCTGGTGCACGACGTACCCGTCCCCCGTCTTTCCCCCGTCTGTGCTGCAGAACGGCGTGAAAATGACCAACGAACCGCCCCAGGGCTTGCGCGCTAACCTTCTCGGCTCGTACCTCCTCGACCCGATTTGTGAGCGCGGGTTCCTCGAGTCCGTGAACAAGGTGCGAGATTGTCATAGGTGTTTAGACCGTCGACATATGTGCTGGTGATTAGGGCAAGGAATTTCGCCGGCTTTTGTATGCGCTGTGCTTTTTCCATGCACTTGTCCGCGAGCGTCGGCAGTTTGGTCCGCTGGGCTGGAACATCCAGTACGAGTTCAACGAGTCCGACCTCAGCATTAGCACGCGCCAACTCGCAATGTTTGTCGACGAGAACGACGCGATTCCGTGGCGAGCGCTCCAGTACGTTCTGCGCATTTTCACGGATCGTTTCGTAGCGATCAAATGTGTTTAGGTATTGCACGGGCGAGTGCAACTATGGTGGTCGCGTCACCGACGACAAGGACCGACGCACCTTGGCGTGTCTTTTGGGCCGGTTTTACGCCACTGATATTCTCAAGGACGACTACAGCTTTGACGAGCGGTCGCAGTACGTGGTGCCGGAGGACACGGACTATGAAGGCTTCCTTGGCTTCATCGAGGGCCTTCCGCTTGTCGCACCGCCCAATGTCTTTGGTTTGCACGACAATGCGACGATTACAAAAGATCAAAACGAAACGACGATATTGTGCACAAAGGTGCTCCAGACGCAAGCGACCGGTGGCGGCGGCGGCGACGCCAAGGGCCTCAGCCAAGAAGAGACCGTCGACGCCATGGCAGCCGATATTCTATCTCGGCTGCCCGACAATTACGACATGGAAGTCGCGGCCATTCGGTACCCGGTCCGATGGAACGAAAGCATGAACACGGTCGTGTGCCAAGAACTCGTGCGCTTCAACAACCTTCTCTCGGTCGTCCGGAGCTCGCTCAAGAGTCTTCGCAAGGCGATCCAAGGTCTCGTCGTCATGTCGGCCGAACTCGAGAACGTGAGTTTGTCGCTGTTTTACGGGAAAATTCCGGCCATGTGGATCGCCAAGTCGTACCCTTCGCTCAAGCCCCTCCCGAGCTACGTGAGCGACTTGCTCGAGCGCATAACGTTCTTTGCTGACTGGCTTAACGACAAGCCGCCGCCGATCTTTTGGATCTCGGGCTTCTTCTTTACGCAGGCCTTTCTGACGGGCGCCAACCAAAACTTTGCCCGCAAATATACCATCCCGATCGGTATGATTCCCGTTATTTGAAAAGCGGCTCGTATGCTGGAGGTGCTAGATCAAATCACGTTTGACCACGAGCCAATGCCACGCACCGACTATGTGACGGGCCCCACGGTGCGTGCGTCATTCGTTTTGCAGACAGATTGTTCTAGAGACATGAACTAGGACGGCGTGTACGTCCGCGGTCTCTTCCTCGAGGGCTGTCGCTGGAACAAGGTCGAGTCGCGCCTCACCGAGTCGCTGCCCAAGGTGCTCTTCACGCCCGGTCCTGTGCTGTGGTTTCGACCGACAAAGAAGTCGGACCTCGTCATTCGCAAGTCGTACAATTGCCCCGTGTATAAAACTAGGTACGCACGCCAAGAAAGTACATGGGCGGATGATGTGTATTGATAGTGAGCGCCGGGGCACCCTCTCGACGACGGGGCACTCGACCAACTTTATTTGCTTCATTCGGCTTCCGTCGAACCTCCCCGAGGCCCATTGGGTAGCCCGTGGCGTTGCCATGCTCAGTCAACTCGACGACTAGACGTGCGAGCACGAGAGAAGCTACCGTTAATATTCAATAATATTCCATGTCCACGACGAAAGGGCATGCCTCATATGACCAAGGGGATACGTACGAACACAGCCACGTGGGCACCGGCGCTAGTAGTTGAAGATAGGGTAATGCTTCTGATATAATTGTGGTTTATTTCTGTTTGGATAAGGTTGAGCTATAAGTTTTGGTCTTGGGGTCGGATCAGTCCATGCATTCTCGCGCCAGATATTCTCGAGACCGCACGCGTTGCGCCCGCGGATGTTTGGCTCGCCAATCACTGATGGGCGTCGAAGCAGCACGCGCTCTCATTGGTGCACTTTTGTTGCACGCGCCAGCGCATTGCCCAATCACAAGCGAATATTTCGGTGTGCTCGCTTTGGATTGGTGCAGCCCGTTTGATTCGCAACTCGAAAGTGCACACTGTGCTGGTCCGGATACCGACGCGTTATAACACGCCAGTGCATTGACCGCACGACCGGCCGAGAACCCGCCTCATGGAGCTCTGCTGCGACGAGGAGCTCGTATCCATCGAGGTGCGCCACCGACAGCGATTCCCTCTTGTGTGCTACAGGTTCCGGCATCGTGCTGGTGTAGACCTCTGTGTACTTGCCGCTCGACGACGCCGCTTTGGACCTCGCCGACGACTGGTACACCACGATGCTGCACCAAGAGCGTCTGCGCGTCGCGTTCAACCCAAGCTTTCACTACGTACAGGTGCAAACCCACTTAACACTTTGTCATTCTAGATGATTCTGCTAGACGCGCCGCGTCCTCGTGGACTGGACCTGTGACGTCGGCGACGCGCTGCACCTCGAAAAGTGGATTGTGCATACGGCCGTCATGTACCTCGACCGCCTTCTCAGCGTCGGTCCATTTCGCTGCGCTTATTGCATGAACCAATAAGGTTCTTATATGTGTAGGAAGGCGAGAAGCCGCTCCAAACCGAGCTCCAACTCTACTGCCTCTGCAGTTTGTTTATTGCCGCCAAGACATTTGCGCTCGACAGTGACATTCCGTCGCTACACGATATGCACGCGTACGCCAACGGCCTCTACTCGACGCACGACATTATGCGCTACGAAGGCCGCCTCTTGCAAGCGTCTGCGCCCACCGATGTCTATGAGAATAAGAACTCATGGCATATAGGCTGCGCTGGTCGCTCACGGCGATGCACCCGCTGTCGTTTGTGCGCTTTTACGTGGCGTCCGCGCCGCTCTTTCCTGACGATACGATCCACCACCTGCGTCTGGGCGATCCGTCCGAGAACGCCGAGCTCCTCGACCGCTACAGTGCGCTTGTCGAATCCCTCGCCGACCTCTGCCTCTCCGAGTATGCCTTCCTCGAGTACCTCCCGTCGATCGTCGCCACGGCCATTTTGGCCGTCGGGCGGCGCATCCTCAACATCACGTAGTCGCGTCTACCTCGTGGTCGACGCATTCAATATGCTCGAGTAGGCCCATCTGGCGAAACGAGATGGAAGCGCTGACGGGGTACGCGGTGCACGACATGGAGGCGTGCTACCATCACGTGTACCGGCAGTACGAAATGCAAAGTCAGAAGCCGGGTCTGGCCGAGACGTCGCCGGCCGCAGTCTCGGACCTCTAGCCACCATGTCGCCATTACGTAGGACAAAACTGTACATCCAAAAAAGCTACACACAGCACTACCGACGCCTACTATTTATCGTCGACATTTAAGCATAATCATCATCCTACTACCCAAAAGCATCGTCTTGGCTTTTTGTATTACTAGGCCCAGTGCAAGTCGCGGTCCGAGTCGCCAATCTCGCCGCCCTTGATGTTCTTGGAGAGGTCCTTGACGTCGTAGTGCCCGACGCCCGGGGTGTTGGTCTTGGGCACCAAGAACGCGCCCCGGGGTGTCTGCGCGCGAGAAATGAGGCCGCCTTTGGTCGAAAACGAGCTTGGAAACGTGTTGGAGAAGGCGTTTGTGTTGGCCGCGTTGGCCCGGCGCGCGTCCGATGGCGTCGCCGGCGTCGTCGTCGGCGTCTTGCGCACCCCGCTCGCCCCCGGCTTGCCCGGGAACGCAGGCCGCGGCTTCTTGAACGCCATGCGGTCGATCGAGCACGTGGACGTGAGTGAGCAGACCGAGGCGGCCGATGACATGGGCTTGGTCGGAATGCGCGACGACGGCTTGGCGGGGGCCGGCTGGTACGGGTGCATATGGCGGGCGTACGAGCCGGTCGAGCGCGCCGACGTCGACGACGAGTTGGAGACGACGGACGCAGGCCCCTTCTTGCGCGGCCCGGGGGTCTTGGCGCTGTCCATCTTGCGCAGCATCTCTTGTGTGAGCGTGTTGGGCGATGCGTGCGCGTCGGGCGCGGCCTTGCCCATCGTCGCCCGCACGTTGGAGAGCTGGCTCGAGTACTGGCCAATGCGCTCGACGATCTCATCGAGCTCCTTCTTCTTCTTGTAGAACGCCTCTTGGAGGCTCTTGAGGGTTTCTTCGAGTCGAGCTTCCTTCTCCAAAAGACTCGCCGCGTCGGGGACGGCCGACGGGCGCATCGGCGGCAACGATGACGGGTACGACGTGGTCGACTCGGCGTCCTTCTGGCGGCGACGCACGCTGTGGACAGAGCCATCGTCGTTGTAGATGACGGGCACAGGCAGGTTGAACGTGTCGACGGTGCGTTGTCGCTCGCCCGCTTGGTTGCCCTGTCGCGATGCGCATGAGACATTCAGGACCATCTGCGAGAAGCTTGCCGTACCTCCATAACGCCCATCGCATCATCGGGCATCTCGTGTGCATGGCGATCGCTGCTGGCCGCGCGGAAGCGCATCGTGAGCGGGAACGTCGAGTTGGCCATGATTGAGTGGAGCTCGCGAAAGTCGACGCCGGCGAGCGCGACGCCGCCGCAGCTCACGACTTCCATGCCCACAACCAGTCGTCGGTAGCAGTCCAAGCTCTTCTTCTTCGTTGCGACCACGTACCGGTCGCCCATGGGTTTGATCGTAATGCCAAGCGGGTTGCTGTAAAAGACGATCTGAAATGCGACCGACGGGTCGATGGCGGGCGGCGGCAGTGGCACCTTGGCCGCCTTGTCCGTGTACACGATGTCGTACATCTGATCGGGCTCGAGGGCGCGGATCGCCGAGTCGTTGAGCGCGACGAAGCGCGCCGTCTTGTTGTTGCGGATCGCGTTGAAGACGGGCACCTCGGCCTCGGGGTGCATCGTGCTGAGCACGTTGGCCATGGCCGCAATGACGTCGCTGACCTTCATGCCCGCGCGCACCGTGAAGCGCTGGTAGTGGCCTGCGATGAAGAAGAGGACGCTGATCTGGTCGCCGACCGAGAGCGCGGCCATGCGGTCTTCCATGCTGCTGCTGCTGCTTGTTGCGTCCGACTGGCAACTTGGATTCCGTCGAACGCCCAGCTCACGATAATTTTTTGCACCAGCCAGTCGTATTTTTTACATCCATTCGGCTCCTCCTTACAAAAGCCAAGTAATTCGACCCGGTTGGTTTTGTATTTTGCTGCGGAATAAAAAGCAGGCGGTGGCCACACGGGCGCTGATTGGTCGGTTGCGCCGGCCTATTTTTGGCCCGCTCGAAGATCGCAAGATCAAGTCGAGGGCGTCAACGAGCTCGCTCGTACTACGATGATAAAGACATATACTATGTATAGGGTTTGGGTGTTGGTGCAAACGCGACGAGGTACCCTTCCGGTTCAGCTCTTGGACGACTTGGTCTCTCGGAGGGTTGGCTGCTTCTGCAAGGTACAGTATTTTGAAACGAATCGGTGGCGAATCTCGTGTGAAACCAACGCCGACGCGGGGATCGAGAGGCTTTCCTATGAGGTTTCATTGGAGCCTGGACATGGGCAGGGACCTGGGTGCATATTGGGAGATGTTCTCTTGGGTGGAGGTGATTGCTTGCATGCCAATAAGAACCGACTCGGGAAATAAGAAGACGACGACGAGTGCCGAGGCAACAACGATGTTTCGGATACTACTGCGCATTGAATGCCGACACACGAGATCAGAGAGTGGCTGCAGTGGTTGTAGAAGTAGCTGACGGCAAACTTGGGTGCGAAACTCAAACCCACGTCCGAGGGTATGGACCTAGTACACTTGATACGGTGCGACGAGGTTGTGTGCACCGAAAGCCACGATAGAACCAGTATGCATGCCTGGCGATCCATATCAAGAGCGTCATGGATGGTTTCAGCAATGAAATTGTAACTGCAAGCAAAGCATGGCCCCGCAGCCGACGTGCGCACCCAGCGACGACGAGACCATCCGTGCGGCGTTTGCTGCTTTTGACGCCGACGGGAGCGGTTCGATTGACGCGTCTGAGCTCCTCGAGCTTGTCGAGAGCCTTGGTGGGATCCTGTCGCCCGACGAATTTCAAGCCGCTTTGAAGCTACTGGACAAAGACGGCAACGGCGTCATCTCTTACGTACACTGACCTTGGCTTGAATGACGTGGCAGATGCGTAGCATAGGACGAGTTTGCAGCGTGGTGGCAGCAGGCGGGTGATGATCTGGACGGCGACGGCGCGACGGGCGAGCTCGAGAAGGCGCTGAGTCGGCTCAAGGAGCTTGGGCAGCAGCGCTACCATGTGGACATCCACACGGCGTGTTGGAAAGGCGACGTCGCGGTCGTCGAGCGGCTCTTGGAGCACGACGTTGTCAATGACCGCGATGCGACCGAGTTTGGCGTGCGTCCATCTGAGCGATGACAATATTCTCCCCATGAACCATAGGACATGAATACGCCGCTGCACTATGCCGCGTACCAAGGGCATCTCACGCTTTGCCGTCTCTTGGTAGGAAGCGACTCATGCGAGGGCGACGGCAAGCACATGTAGATCGAGAAGAAGGCCAAAATCAATACGACCAACGCAGTAGGGTGCACTGCACTCTTCTTTGCATCTCAGCAAGAACACACGTCTGTTGTCAAATACCTTCTCGAGGTAGCCTCGGGCACTGCTACGTTGTCCGACCTCATGCGTAGCAAGGCGCAGACGCCAAGCTGCGCGAATCCGAGGTATGGCTTGTCAACCAGAAAGATATGATCCTACACTTGAGCGAGTAGCATCTGCTGAGTGCCGTCGACGTGACGTCGTCCATGGCGGTTCTCGATACGTTTCGAGCCATCGCTGGCGACAGTAGGCTCATTCCTCAAGCTTGCAGACAGCGTCATGATGTGCTAGAGCCGTCGCCGCCACCACGCGTCGACGCAAAGCTCATCACTGCCACGTCCATCACGATTACGTGGTCGCGGATGCGTCGAACGATGTGGTGCTGATGGCTCGTACTTAGGACGGCCGCAAGTGCCAAGCTTAACGAGTCGCTGCCGCTTTCCGGCTTCAAGATCAAAGCGACGGCGCCTGGCAAGAAGACGTGCTTGCAACTCGCGGGGACAAATCCGCTCCAAGCGACCTTGGTCAAGCTCACACCCGAAACGACGTACTCGATTCAAGTCGCTGCCGTGAGCCTCCACGGGGCGAGCGAGTACGGACCTCCTCTGCTCGAGACGACGCTGGCAGGTGGGCTGAACGAGCAAGTGTGTTGTTCGATCGAGAAGCGCTCCCATGGTAGGACCTGCCGTAGCACCAGGACGGGCGACGCCTCGTGGCAACACTGCAACAATACGCAATCAAAGTACGATACGACCCGAGGCAAGCGTCCCCAAGCCGATCGTCGACCCCAGCGACGTGACGACAGATCCTTCTTGCGACGAGATACCACGAGACGAAGCTTACGGCATGTAGAGACGCCAAGATGACACTAAGGACACCGGTTTGTACGACCGAGAGTTGACCACGAGGTCGTCGCTCGTCTTTACTCTATGTCACCAGTGATGTACTACTGACTGCATGCCCCACTGTATAATCTGACGGCCGTGCGAAGGCCCGCGAATGTGTCGCCGCACCACCAGTCGCATGGATCTCTCCTGGAGATTCGCCACGTCTTCCCAAGGCCAGAACTTATGGTCTTCGTCTTCCTCAGCATTTTGGCACAGCACATGTCGACCACGAAGTGAATGTTCGGTCCTCGCATTCCTTGGTCGTCGTCCTGTGGATTATGGGGTAGACGCTCAAACTCACCTTGCATTTGCCCGAGGTGGCGTCACGACCCGAACATGCATATAAATATGGGGCGTGCAGACACTTGGCAAAGCAACGACACACACTTTACATCAAGAAGGGAAGAGAGGACAAGACTAGAGAAGGTAGCGCGTCGGGAGCGACCCGTGGGCTGCAGCACCGCCGAGGCGGTCCTTGCAGTTGAGCACCATAAAGCCGCCAGCAAACTCCGAGTAGCGCGACCAGATGACCGACTCGTCGACGATGCTCAAGATCGAGCCAAAGTGGTGGTAGTGGTCGGGAATCAGCGCACAACGGCAGCGTGAGAGGTCGTTGCAGTGGCCGCGCCGCTTCATGGGCACCCACACGGCGAACGCACTAGCTCCACATGTGAGTACACGTCGGCCGCACTTCCTCGTACTGCTCGAGAAAGTCGGACTCAAAGACGCAGCCGTCGTCGCATTCGACGTAGAGGCCCACGACGCAATAGTCCATGAACCGAAGCACCGCACGTCCTTCGACGATCGACGCTTCGAGGGCCGGCGCGACGCCATTAGCCGCAAGCACCCGCGGCTCCATGCGAAGCATGGCATGCGCCATCGGGTGGCGAGCCACCTACACGCCAGGGACATCAAAAAGACCGAAGAGGATTATGTCGGGACATACCGCCGCCCGCTTGGAGCCATCCTTGTAGTGTACTTGGATGGCCGCAGCGTCAATGTGCACATGCGACGACGAGAGGTTCTGGACGATGATGCGGAGCTGGACGTACGTCTTGGCGCCGATCGCGAGCGTCTTGCAGTCGGCACGATGCCCGAGCGTGAGCCTACGCACAGGATACATGAACGTTTCCGCCTATGACACTTGGCTCTACCAGGTCTCGACGCCGCCGTTGTAGCTGTGCCCCCACGTCGGTTTGTCCTAACCAACAAACGAGGCCATGAGCGCGGGCGTCGAATTGGCAAGCACACGTACAGCCGTCGAGTAGAGGCCGTGAGGCTTCTGCTCCGAGATGTGCAAATGCCGGTACAGGCCAAAGTACGAGTGCACGCCATAGCGGTGCAGCTTCATCATGCGCGGAGGCAGCTGCCAACGGCGAAGGACCAGCGGCAACCAAAGGCGGTCCGAGCGGCAAATGTCGCGCCACTCCTTGGAGAGCTGCCTACGCTACATGAGCTGTGGTTGTGAGCGCACGACATGCAGCGTACATCGTCGTAAGGATCGACGCGGGCGTGAGGTAGCCAAAGACCATGAGGATCTACCGTGCCACTTGAGCATCATGAAACGAGGCAGCGTCATGGCGTCGTACCAGCTCCTCGCTCATGGTGACGAGGACCGGCGTGTACGCGGCCGACGGCGCGCTGCGTGGCAGCTGCACGCTGCGTGAGCTCTCGGCGACTTGGCTCGCCATGCTTCAACAGTGCAAAGATCGCAGCTTCGAGGTGCGCCAGGTAATGGCGATGGCCGAGCTGTGCGTCGGCCGCCCACGTCGCTAGCTCGCGTGTGATTCGCTGAAAATATTTCATCCAATCAGTAACGCGCAAGGAATGGGGCCAATCAGAAGCAGCTGGTACGCGCGCGCCGCGTGCGATTGGGTGAAAAGCAAAGTTCAACGCGACATCCCACGCCGTCAGAGACTGCCAGCTCATGCATGGGCCTAACAGTGCTTGGATTGGGCTGCGACGCATGAGAATAGTTCTTCACGCTACTTGGACGGTGCTTGGACGCGTAGCGATTGGCTCTTCTTAATGTTCGATACCGAGTAGCCGCTTGCAAAGGGCCGTCAAGATTCGCGGCCCCGCTTCTCTTTCTGCGAACCAGTACATGTCGTCCCACGAGCTCCCAAACCCCATTTGGCTCGCCAAACTCAAACTCAAACGAAGCTTCTACCGATATGCTGTCAACTTGTTGACATAAATCGGCACAGCGCCAATCCTTGAATCTCTGAATTAGAAATCCCTTAATCAGAAATTGTCTGCAGAAGTTGCAACAACCCCACCCCTTTCGACCTGGACGAGTGACAATGACGTGCATGTCTTGGCTGCCTTCCCACACTATTTCATACCATGTCCTTAGTCGTCACGCTGGTTGCCCGTCTCTGATTCTGTTGCTGCCGACTCGGGTGCGCTGGATCCCGAAGTTGGATTTGTGCGCCGGCGTTGGATGCCCCGCGTGGCGGAACTGAGGTGGTCGGTGCTTCTTAGCTTGGCCGTTTGGATCTTGGATGTTTGGTCGGCTTTGAGACGCGCCTATGCACGTCGTATGAAGGTTGCCGGACTCAAAGAAGCGACAACCTCGTCGTCGCGCTTGCGCTGCTGCTCTCGAAGGCGTGTTAGGCGGCGTTGCTCGAGGTCATTCTAACACGCCTTGCATGCATACGGCAGCACCGTGGTGGACTCGTAGTACCTCGAGCTGCTTCATGCGTTCCAAGCGCTGGACCTTGTCGGCGTCGGTCTTTGCTTGGCGAGCGCGGAGCTCTATGTCGGCAGCTGCCTCCTTCTTGGCCTTGGCCGCGGCGACAGCTATCACGTAGTGTTGGTGCATCGCTGTCGTCTCCCATACATACCAAGACGCCGCCGCTTGTTGGTGTCCTGAAGTGTTTGCGCAAACTGCACTTGCTTTTGGCGGGCGACGCTCCGGGGGACCGGGTCCTTTGGCGGCTTTGTGCGCGGCGTCGACAAGTGAAACTCGGCCGGCACCGTCGTCACCGAGAGCCGTGTGGTCGTGACGACGATCGGAACGTCGTGGCTGTCGTCCTGACCCGACCACTCGCCGAGGCCAATTGTGCCGGGCAGCGACAGTGTGCGGTGCGTCGACTGCAGTTGCAGCTTGGGCGGCGCCGCAATGGCCGCCTCGACGACCGACGCAAAGGTCGACGTGCGCCGGCCGCGATCGTCCATCATGCGCACCGAGTGTCGCGCGTACCACGCCTGTCCGACATTGCCGTTTGACGAACGTATGGGAACGGTAGACGCAGCACCTTGGGCTCTTTGCCAAACGACGAGCCGGCGTGAATCGCTCTGGCGGCCTTGGAGAAGGCGTCCGAGCCCTGGAACGAGACCGCCTGACGCCGCGTCGAGCGGAACATGGCGACGTGACGCCAGCGCTGGAGCCCCGAGAGGATGTTGTTGCGCGTAATCTTGTAGGCTGGGACGGTAAAATAATGAAAAATCGTGGCGCGGCGCCAAAAGCTACACACGTCTAATATGACGTGGCACCACCTGGACGCGAGGCGTACCGGACAATGTTGTACACAAGGGAAAAGGTATAGAGAAACCGCTGGAGGCGCTGGCGCAACCGCTCCTTGTGCTGTGCGGCGGCCATCTCGGCGTGCCGCGCGCGCACCAAGAGGAACGCAGACCGCCAGCGCTGCTGGATCTTGATCGACGCGCGGATCTGGTCGTACACGAGCGACGGGTCCGTTCCCGGGTGCGCGCGCATAAATTTGTTGAATGTCCGGAGACCGAGAATCGTGTTCGCCTGCATCGAAATGAGACCTCGTGTCGTACTCTTAGGACGACCATGGTCGACTTGAAGACAACATAATGCGCGAGACGCCGCACGCGACGGTGCCGCACGACACGCTGGATGATGCGGGCCGCCCGGTCTGCAATGCAGCGTCGAAAGACTACTAAATCAAAAGTCTTCCCTGGAAACCGTATGACACTAACGTACATCGCCCAAAGAACCCGCGCAGACAGCGTTGAATCGTAACTGCACTGCCGTGCACAAGGCGTGCAAACATGTCCTTGGCGTGCGCGCAGCGCAGTTGGATGAGCTGCACCATGTCGTCGGCGTCGGCCATCTACGCAGCTGGTCACGATAGTGGGTGTCATCTTGGTGACCTCGTCTTGGAAAATGTGCATCGTGGCATCGATGCGCGCCAAACTTGTCTTGATCGCGTGCTAACATCGGAATGAGCCGCGGTTGCATGCGCCGAGCGGACGCACAAGCGACGAGGCGAACGCGTCAGCGATGGCCGCCATGTTGTGGCAGTCGTCGACGTCGAGCACCACGTCGGGGATCGCGTGGCGCTTGTGTAGCGTCGTCATGGGCACAACGCTAGCCACTGCGCATAAGCAAGCATTTCATGGGTGCCACATAGTCGTACGTCGCTGCAGGCAGCGGTTGCCGCTTGGGAAGCGGACGCGGTGATGGCATACTGTGCAAGTTCAACGTAGGAAGCACCACTGGCTCGCACGGCGGCGACTCGTCCCGGGGGGGCGACGGCGGCGGCGGGATGAGCGGCAAGAGCATCTCTCGGAGTTTCGTTTTTGGCGCCAAGCGACGCGCCATTCTGAAAACGGCCAAATGGACCTGCTGCCCGAGGAGCCGCACCGGCGCGAAGCCAACCTCTTGAGCATCGAGGACATTCGCTCCGAGGTACCATACAATGAATGGGCTAGGAATGATACTCCCCGAGGGTCTGCTAGATGATGCGGTATGGCATTCCTGCGCACGAGAGCGTCCCGAGCACGCTCGTGATTCTTCAGCGCAAGTTTGACGACGAGTTCAACACGCAAATGACTGCGTACGCCAAGATCATGGAGCGCTATCGACGCAAGAAGAACAAGAACGAGATGGCGGCGCGCGCCGAGCGGATTGTGGCCGAGGACTCGGCCGCGCTCGCTGCCAACCCAAAGATGCGCATCCTTGTCGACCAGGTACTCGACCGACAACAGTCTTGGCTACTCTACTCGCTGAATAGGTGCTCGCCCACGAGACGAACGCGAGTCTCACGGTGCGCGGCATCGATGACGCCACGTGCCGCGCTTTTCTGCACGCGATGGAAGCCAACAAGTCGGTGTTGACTCTCGACTTGTCCAACAACGAGCTCGGCGAGAGTGTGGCTGAGGCCGTCGCGGGGCTCCTTCGGCACAACCGGTCACTGCAGACACTCGACTTGGGAGCCAACCACTTTAACGCGAGTTCACTTCTCGTGATCGGCCCGGCGCTTGCCGCCAACAAGGTGCTTTCGTCCATCAGTTTCGAGTCCAACCCGCTCACGAGCCACAGTACGACATATCCTCCATCTATAGTGCACGATGAAATAACGTCATGGACTAGACAATGCCGTGGACCTCTCGGGCTTTGAAGTGCTCTGCTCCAACGTCTTTAGCAACACGACGACGTTGCGGTCGGTCAACTTTTTTCGTTGTGGGCTCAATGTCGAGGCCGGTCGGATGCTCTCCAAGGCGCTCCTCTTCAACGAGTCGGTGATTGCGCTCGGTATGGAATTCATATATTGTGAAAGACAATATACCATACTTTCATGGCTTTATCCACTAGACATTGGCTGCAACGCCATGGCTGACAAGGAACTCGAAGTCATTGCGATACAGCTCGAAGAGAATCGGCTTGTCCACGACAAGATGCAAGCCAAGGTTTACGCACTCAAGAAGCAGGTCGCGGCCGACGCGGATGCCAAGTACGACGCCAAGTGCGCGCTCGAGAAGGCCGAGACGATCGCCAAATGGCACGACGACAACGCCGCCGCGCGCCACGCCCAGTACGAGCGCGACGCGATTGAGGCCGCGCGGCACAAGTGCGAAGAACACGCGCGCATCCAAAAGCAAATCGCCGAGAAGGAGGCTGCGCGCAAGCTCAAGGAGGACGAAGCGCGCTTGAAAGCCGAAGCCAAAGCCAAAAAGAAGAAAAAGTAGTCACCATTGCGATATACGAGCACAAGAAATGCATAATTTGTTCTTCGAATGGTATCGCGGACGTTGCACTGGCCCACGCCATCCAAGTGTTAGGGTAGCGAGCGACCTGGTGCCGGGTTGGAGACCTCCAAGGCTACCTGAATCTCACTCGCCAAACGAGTAATCTTCAACGCACGATGTTGGCTGTCAAGTCAACGACTGTTTCCTACAGTCCCTTCACTCCATATAGTATCGGGAAGCGCCACGTGAAGGAGCCTCTCAATGCCCTCGATCTACTTGCTTGCTCGGCTGCATGCCATGGAAACTGGGCTATATCGACAATCACGACGTCGTCAAAGGGCCTTGCATCCACGGTTGGCGTCCGAGTCCTTCGATGCCAAGCACAACTTCGAACACGCCAGTTTGTATACGGAGAGGCTTGGTCAATTGAATGCTTACAAGACGTTGGGGATGTCCATTTCCTTGAGCGAGACGTGGTAGCCCGTGTAGAGCGGGTGCGACTCGTCCATTTCTTCGTCCGTATCGAGGAAGCCCGGCATCATGACGGTCGCCGTCGACTCGATGCTTGCCTGGATGTGCACGATGCCTTGGCTCGCAAGCTCGATTGGCTCCTTGTAGATGTGGATGTTGAACGACTGGTTCTTCCACAAGAAGCAGATGCGCTTCTGCTTGATGATGCGGCGGCTCGGGTCGGCGCGGTGGCGCACCGCATACGTGTACTCGCGCGCCGAGAGCACGCGCTTGAGATGCACCCTACGACAACGATACATTGCCTGAACTTGAAACATTGAAACGTACGGCTCGCCCGTCCCGGCGATCGTGCGGACCGTCGTCATGCCGTAGACTGGAATGCCATACTGCGTGCGGCAGCGGACAAAGACATAGTCGTCCGGGCCATCTATACACGCGGGATCTCAGAGCTTAGTGCATATCCAGAGCCATTTGGTACCGCTCGGGTGGGGCATGAGGTAGACCTTCTCGACTTCGAACTCTTCGCAGTGGACGGGCATGGACGCGGGCGACGGCAGCGAGCGGAGGAGGAACTTCTTACTCGACTTGACCGTCGACGGGAGACCCGTGAGCGTCGCAGCGCAGTTGATGAGACGCTGCATCTTGCTCTCAAAGCCCGTCGAGTTGTCTACATACAAGAGTCGTACAAGCTACCAAGAAGCTCGTATAATACCAAAGACAAAGAGCTTGGGGTGGCCGATCCACGCGTGGCAGATGCGCTCGTCGACTGCGCACGCCTGCTCGATCGTTTCGATGCGCGTGCCGTTGTTGTCAAGCGTGTAAAACTGGGGCGCGCCGTTCGCCGTCGTCACGAGGTGGAACACCGCGTTGTAGCGACTAGACAGAGAATCGTGTCATTTGTCCGAGCAATCGCCGACGTACGTATCGCGGAGCGTGACCGTGTCGAGGTCGTGCTGGAGCTTGAGATCTTCCCACTCCTCCGGGTCCATGTAGGCCGAGCCGTCCATGGCGCCGCGATCGCAGAGGATGACGCACGGCAGCTTGGTGTCCCGTGCCAGTGCCACAAACGTGTCTTCGAGCTGCATCTGCGTCGACAGAATGGCCCACTGGAAGTTAATAATGTCCGTGGGCTTGAGGTCCCTAATGCGTCAAACAGACCATGTGAAAAAGAAGAATGGTGATGCTGGCGTACAAGAAATGGGCGCCGCCCGACTGGAGCAGCGTCGAGGCCTCGGGCACCATGTAGACGCGGAAACCACGCTCTCTAGATAGGGCCATCGTGGTACATGGCGAGCGTGCGCGGCGAAAAGTACCGGAAGTAGGTCGAGAGGCGCTCGAGCGACGTCGTCTTGCCGGCGCACGGGCCGCCCGTGAGCACAAACTTGTAGATCGGGATCGACTCGGTCTCGCCGCGCGTGAGCGAGCTCATCATGGGCACGGTGCCCGACCGGGCGCGGATCGGCGCGGGCTCTTCGGACGTAGCGAACGGGGACTGCTGCGCCATGGCTATGTACAAGGAGCTGGTGTTTTGATGACTAGAAGCTCCTCACTCGCGGGCCACCGTTTCAATTTAGAGTCCCAACGGAAGTTCGAAGCTCATTTCATTGGTCGCCTCGTGTGGAGTTGCCATCGACTGCTTCGAACTTCGCCTGTCGCAGCAACGCTTCAACTTGAATGTCTGAAATTCAATGGCCGCCCCCGAGGCGGCGCGTGCAAAGCTGTGCGTTCCTTGTACATAGGCCGTACACGCCAAGGTTGCGCAGCGTGGAAGTGCTTGTTGAGCACCGACCTCGTCGGCTCCAGTGGTCTCATGTCATTGACAGCCGAACGGTAAAGACTCGACAGCGTAACTATGCAAGAGTGACCCAATAATGCGTGATGGCAAAAACATGCTTGCGATAACGACGAAGACGTGGCGGCCGATAACGCTAATGTACCGATGTTGCTCGTGCCAGAAGAAAGAAGATATCATCGAAGGCGCAAGAGCCTTCGACTGGAAGGGGCGTCGAGAAGTGTCTAGTAAAGTGTCTATGGATGATGCAGTCTTGTCGCGATGAGTTCCGTTTGCTCTGGCGCTCTTCGGTCTTCGGTCGTAGCGTCATTGCAACGACTGGCGACGAACCAGGCTACTGTGCTACGGGGCAAGTGGTGGCTACTTCCCATGACGCTGAGACCATCAAATGCATCAAGCACCAAGTGCAGCGCACGAAGGCCCACCGACGTTGTCCGGTACTTGTATCTGCCAACGTAGCCAGCCAAGGATGAATGATGTGGACGAGGTTACATGGACTGGCGTCATTTGTTCTATCCCACTCCGACGAGCTCACGTCAAGAACTTGAGGGCGAAGCAGAGAAGCCGCGACCACTGCACCCGGAACACGACAGCTTTCTCGTCATACGCAGTATGGCCAAGTCGTTGACCTTGTCACAGTGGCGGTTTGGATAAACCGGTTGGCCAATGCACGACGAGGCGCAAGCGAAAGCAGTATTCCTTGTGTAGTATATTGAACGCGCTGCCTTGGCGTTCGGGGGCACTTTGGCACTCGGTGACGAGGAAGCAGTCGAAAGGTCATCGATCACTCTGTACAGAGGACTGCTGCGAAAAGATATGTTCACGACACGAGGAGACGCTCTCGTGACCGATAACTTGCTGGACCTTGCTGCAGCCAAGCACGCTATCCAGGCCAAGGTCACTGCACGTGTCCATGCTCGAACGAGCCCAGCCACAAGCATACAACGCATGTTGGGCTTCCAACTGCCACAAGCTTTCTTCACCACGAACAATGATCTGTCCACGTATGCTTCGGCGTGGCATCCGTGCGAGTGTGCAGAGGCAGCAACCGACTGCTTGTCCGTCGTCGTCGTCGCCACGGTCGGTCGCCTTCAAGCTTTGAAGCGTCATGCAATGCTACGACTCGACCAAGTGCGGTTACACACCACGCGCACTTATCCGAGTCGATCGCAACGGGTGTGTGCCCTACGTTGCAGTCTGGGATTGGTCAAAAGTCCATCTATTCTTCGAAATCGAAGCCTATGATTGGTTAAAATGCTGGATGCGAAGTGAAAATAGAAACCTCGATTGACGGCAGTCGTGGCATTTGCAATTTCCCTTCCAACATGTCGGACGTCAACGCTATCGTGATCGAGCCGCTCAAGGCCTTTGCCAAGAACTCGATCCACCTCGTCAAGAAGTGCACCAAGCCCGACCGCAAGGGTACGCCATCCTCATGGCCATGATGCTATAAGGATCATGCTCATGCTGCACGTCTGTAGAGTTCACGCGCATTGCCGGCGCCACGAGCATTGGCTTCCTCATGATGGGCTTCATCGGCTTCTTCGTCAAGCTCGTGCACATCCCGATCAACAACATCCTCGTCGGCGGCAGCGCCTAGATGCACAGCCTTTTCTAGTGTTTCCTTATAGTGGTTAGTAATATATCGAGTCCCTCGATACGACGCACGACCCTCATGGCGACCGTCCTGCGCCCGAAACGGACGCGAACGTTTCGATGGCGTCGGAAGCGACGCAGCGATGGGCGCGCCAGCGCTATGAGCATGGCCATACGGCCACGCTGCAGAGCATGCGCCGCAACGACGCCGGTATCGCCGACCACAACGTGCATGTACGACAGCCTTGAAGCGTGTGGGTAGCGAGGATGCGTGCGACCTGTAGTGCTTTCTTGGCCTGGAGGACCGACGGTCAGCTCGTTCTTGCTGGCAGCAATAACGTCCACACGCGCCTCCTATGTGATAGCTTTCTGCACGGAGAGGCCGAGCAATCCCTGCTGCCAGGTACGCCTCATGCACCATACGATCGGTAGCAAACGTACCCTCGTGGCGCAGCGCGGCAGGTGCTCCCTTCGCCCTTGACGCTGACGCGGTAGACCGGTCTTGGCGCTCGAACCTGACGTGGCTTGGACAGAGCGATCGAATGCGGCGACTTGACGACGCTTCAAGCCTACCTGCGCGGTGGTGCGAGCGCCAAGAGTGTCAACGCAGTACGTACGCACATGAAATACGAGGTGCTAGGACGACATACTGCAGGCGGGCGAGACACTGCTCCACGTGGCGGTGCTCCACGAGCGCTTGCCGCTTGTGCAGCTCCTGCTCGTGCATGGCGCCGAACCCAATGCGCGGAGCTACGTACGATGTTGTACCATGAGCCATGGTCACGCGACGATGCGTAGTCGACACCGCGGGCGCCGTTCTTGAACGCTGTAGGTGACGTCGACGCGTGCTTGGCCACAGCGGCCGGCGCGACGCCACTACATTATGGTAGCGTTCGCCTCTTGGGCGATGCTTGGAGCGATCTGCGTAGCATGCGGCATTGCCAACCTCAAGCTCGTCAAAATGCTACTGCTTGCCGGCGCCGCAGCGAGCGTACGTACATCGTCTACCTTTCTATTTGCTGGACAATGGCGTAGGTGAATGTGGGCAACCACGAGGTATCGAACCGGTGGCCTCCGGATCTCTATGAATGTACTAGCTTTGTCAACCTCCCCTCGTGTGGGCGCTGCGGTACGCTGCCGTTGCTTTCTCATGTGCCAGAAGACAGCATGACACGACTAGCGCGCCGCAGCACCAAGTGGCCATGATGACGCTCTTGATGACGCATGGTGCGTCGGCCATCGACACGCGAGACGTCGATGACAACAATGCGATTGCGCTCGCCGCGCGGCACTACGTTGACCTGCATGAGATGCGGCTGCTACAGCAGATTGTGTCGGCGCTCGTCGACGCGGGCGTCGACGTCCAGCACAAGAATGGATGCGGCTGGACTGCGTACGACGAAGCACCTACAGCCGCGATCCAAGTCATGCTTCAAAGTCGCTTTGGCGCGCATTCGGGACGCGTCCAAGACCCTCTAGGCGCTTTGCAGATCGACAACGTCGAGACACAGCGCGCCGAAGGCCAGCCCTGGCTCCGGCGTCCCATTCGCCACCGCCGATCGACCCCCGCTGCGTAACCAGTACTTCAAGCAACTGGACTCTTGTGATGGAAACCAAGCACGAAGCTTCTGCATAAACTTTTAGTCGTCCAGTTTTGGCATAGCAGTCGGCAGCACAGCGGAAAGCTGCGCTCTTCTAGTCGCCAGCATCGACTAAAACAATATCGCACGCTGCGTCGAACGCAGTGCACCAAGCCGTAAGCCCCAGAAGTACATCGTATGTAGAAGACAAACTGTACTATTATATAGACATACGAGTATCATCGAAGGCGTCTGTTCGTTTACACGGTGTGCTTGTCATCGTCGACAAGGATATGCTCGTCGTCGCCTTCGTTGGCAATCTCGAGCGCCTTCTCCCAGCCGTCCTTGCGGAACTCGCCCTCGAGCTTGGCCATGACGACGGCTGCGAGGCAGTTGCCAAAGACGTTGGTGAACGTGCGCGCCATGTCCATGAGCCAATCGGCGGCCAAGATGAGCGTCACGGGCCAGTTCGGGATGCTAAACTGGTCGACGGTCGACGCGAGGACAATGATACTCGCCGAGCGGACGCCCGCGACACCCTTGGACGAGATCATGAGCATGAGCACCATGACGATTTGCTCGCCGATCGTCTTGTCAATGTGCGTGGCTTGGGCGCAAAACACCGCCGCAAGCGAGAGGTACAAGGTCGACCCGTCGAGGTTGAACGAGTAGCCAAAGGGGACAACGAACGCCGAAATGTGGGGCGACACACCGTACGCTGCGAGCGCCTCAAACACTTTGGGCAGCGCGGCTTCCGAGGTCGCGGTTGTGTACGCAATCACGAGCGGCTCGCGCATCGCGGTGAGGAATTCGATCGGGTTGATCTTGAAGAAGGCAAAAATGGCGCCAAAAATGACAAGGATAAAGATGACCAAGGTCACATACAAGGTGACGACGAGCGCGCCGAGGGCACTGAGCGCACTCACGCCGTTGGCGCCGATCGCATTCGCGACCGCAAAGCAGACGCCGAGCGGCGCGGTCCAGATGACAATGTCGACAAACTTGAACATCATCTCCATGACCGCAGTCGCCAGTTCGAGAAGCACGCGCTTGTGGTGCTCGGCCGTCATGGCGGTCGCGACACCGACGAGGATCGACGCCACGAGCACTTGGAGGAGCTCCGAGCTGCCCGAGCCGCCCATCATTTCACCCCACGTCTTGGGCGTCAAATGGTTGATCCAGAGCGCAAATGTAAACGAGTCGGAGGGCTTGCCGGTGTAGTTTTTGCCTTGCTGGATCGACGACCCGGGGCTCGCAATGTTGACCGCAAGGAGGCCAATGATGAGCGCGAGCGTCGTCACAACCTCAAAGTAGATGAACGACTTGAGCGAGAGGCGGCCGAGCGCTTTGAGGTCGCCATTGCCGGCGATACCGACAACGAGCGACGAAAAGACGAGCGGGAACACGATGAACTGGATCGGCCGGAGGAAGATTTGGGCCATGGGCGCGGCCGACTTGGAAAAGGACGGTGCGACTTCACCAAGAATGATGCCGAGAATCGTCCCGAGCACGATCCAAAACGTGAGCGACGAGAGGATGCGGCGAGCGATCGACTTGGGCGGACGCGCGATCGGCGTGGCGCCGTCCACCGGGGTCTGCACCGTAGCGTACGCGTCGACTGCCATCTTGGGAGCGACTTGACAAATGAAAAAGATTGGGAGAAGAGACTTTATTGAAGGCGACCTCGCCACCACGCAAAGGACCGGATCAGATGTCCGTCGCCATGTGGTGGTAACCAGGTGCTGGGTGCGAGTTACGCAAGCATGGACCGTCCGCTGGCGCGTGTCACGCTGCCGCACCTAAGATGCACCTGGCGTTCCGTGACCAGTCTACATTCCATAGTCCAGGTGAATGTGCGGCTAGGAACGTGAAAGAAGCACATCGATTGTGTAGAGATCACCTCCGTGATGGCGCGCTGCGTCTCTCGACTTCAGACGGATTGACAATGACGTTGCCGATCTTGCGTGCTGACGTGACGACAGCAGAGGTCCGAGTGACAGAGTTGGACGCGGATCATGTATGGTTTGTAAAAAGGCCACCTGCCCAGCGTCTTGTTGTTGAAGCCGCCAAACCAGACGCTTGATCCTGCAGGTCCTTGCCACGAAGAAGCCCCGACGAAGAACGTACGCCACAGTACAATAATGTAATGCACTGCTGCTTCAACGTCTCGTGCAGCAAGCTCGAGTCGGTGGTAGCTGTACCGCTTATACCGACGGCAACGATGCCACAGATGCCCAGTGCTTCAAGCCGTCAACGGGGCAACATGGGTGAGGGTCAATTTGTATGGCTCTCTGCAGCGCCATCCACCACAGCCATCGAGGCACCACCTCGTTGCATGTAAGCACAAAACGGGACCCAACAGCGAGAAGACAACGACGCTGGCTCGGAGCATAGCCGCGACGCAGCACCGAGTGATCAGATTGACGAAGCCGCCTGTCGCGCCAGTAGACCCGATCGCTCGACGCACGCATGTATCGTCGTCGGCCGCCACCGCGCGCAGCAGCCAAGTAGATGGACGCTCCATGTCGTGTAGCAGCAGCACGTACTGTAGTGAGCCCACGCATTGGGCGATCCAAACGCCGTCGCTGCGTCGTTCTGCCACGCGTCCTCAGACGGTTATGGCTCATTGGAAACGAAGCAAGATCGCGTCGGTTCATATCTGCAACCAGCCAGAATGGCCGAGGCGAATGCGACCACCGCGGAGAAGACCGAGGCCAAGGCCGAGAAGAGTACAACATCATCGCATATGAATCAGAGCTCAGGAAGAAGCGCTAGATCCATGGCTCCACGCGTACCACAACACGGTGGCCGGCATCAAGGCCTTCTCGCCGTACGTCAGACTTTTATCGCGTTGCTATATACAAGTACTTGCATAGCTGCATCAAGCTCGCGGATGTCTACGGCGACGGCGACTACAAGCTGCTCATTGCCGACGCCGACCGCCGGCTCAAAATGTACAAAGGTCCGGGCGTCGCATGCTGTGTACGTGGCTGCAGCTCTGTTGTAGGCACGACGCTTCTGAGCGAACAAGCCGTCTTGGGCGTGCCTGTTGCGCTCAGCGTCTTCTACTCGGGTGCGACAGTTCAACAATACGTACCACATAACAACGGCTCTAGACGCGACGCGGCCGCGCACGCCATCGATCGCGGTGGCGTCGGGACCTTCGATCTACATTTACCGCAACATGCGACCGTACTACAAGTTTACGCTGCCGTCGCTGGACGTGTCGCCGGACGAAACCAAGCTCTGGGGCCAACTCGCCAAGTGCGAAGTCGACATTGTTGGCGCCGTGCACCAGCTCAACGTCCTTCGGTACCCAACTATCTTCTACTATTCACTTTCTATCCAATCCAACGATTCAACTATCCAGGAGCAACGGTGCGGTACTGACGCAGCGCTCCCGCGGGTTCCTCGCCATCGACGACATGGAGCAACAAGCCGAGTTTGTGTCGCGGTACACTGGATACAACCTATCCAATGGATTGCGTTGCGATACTATCTGCATAGATACATGGACGACCCGCTCATCGAGCACACGTCCGTCACGTGCATGACGACGCTGAGCAAAAACATGGACGAGAAGGATGCGATTGGCTGGTACGTCGCTCGAAACACCACACGATTGCGTGACGCACAGCGCGTAGCCTCGTTGTGGGCACCGAAGCCGGCCAGGTACTCATTTCTTATATTACAATATCCAATGCGGCGCCTAGATCTATGTCCTCGACCAGCAAGGCGCCAACATTACAACAAAGGCGTGTTTGCCGTCGACGCCGGTCGAAATTGTTGTCAACGGGCTCTACGACGTCGAGTATCGGCTGATCGTGTCGTGCCGGAACGGCTCCGTGTACACGGTCAAGGTGCGCCTCTAGGGACCATACAATCTTCAAGTTGATATTCTTTAGAATGGCGAGTTGCTCAAGAGCGTGATCGAGCTCGAGTCGCCTGCGTGCGCGCTCTTGCAGATGGAGAAGAGCATCGTCGTGGCGTGTATGGACCGTAAAGTCTCGTCCTTCCACCTCAAGGTAAGTCGACCTTGGAAGTACAAATGTATCAAGTTGATACAAACCAAATAAAGGGCAAGAAGAACTGGTCCATGACCATGCCTCAAGACGTGGTGGCGATGGAGGCGCTCAACCTCCCCCGCACGAAACACTCGAGAGGCATTTTGATTGCGCTCCGGAAGGGCGAGATCCTGCTCTACAACGAAAAGATCAAAGTCACGTCGTTCCACCTCGACAGCCTCCTCACGGGCATGGTCTTTGGCCAGTTTGGCAGAGAAGAAGCGTCCCTCGTCCTCGTGCACAAGGTATACTATATACCTACCCCTATTTCATTCTATATTGACGACATACTTTCTCTAGTCGGGGGCTCTGACGCTCAAGATCCTACAGCGCAACGCCGATCTTGAAGTACAAGTATCGACTGTACTTGACAGCATACGACTCGTGTAGGGCACGTCGACGTCGGCGGGACCACCCCCCGAGCAAGGTACACTCCTTTTCCAACTGTCCGTATATCGACACACCGACTAGACATTCCACTCAACGTGCCCAAGAAGACAAAGCTCTACGTCGAGCAAACGCAGCGCGAGCGCGACCACGCGATCGAGATGCACCGCCATTTCCAGGTGCCCACCCAACCAAACGCCCTATTCTGACGTCATTTTTGGTAGCGCGACTTGTGCAAGCTTCGTCTCACGACTGTGCGGTCGTATGTCAAGGTCATTCGCGACGGCCAGGTACATCCAAGCCCAAAGGGTCGTCGTGCTTTAGCCGATGTAGGGCCCCGTCTCATATGCGACGGGGGCGTCCATTCGCCTCAACGCCAAAGTCCAAGGTCTCGGCCCCCACTTCAAGATCCAGCTCCAGTTGCAGGTATGACACGCTCTTGCGGTCATAACCCTAACCGCGTGAGAAGAACTCGGGCGCCAAGTTTGCCGCGGATATTCCCATCGCGCTGCATTATGACCATGGACTCTACCGTATTCCGCAGAGTCTGTTGCAAATTCCGCTGCTGTTGCCCGTAAGTTCGTCGCGCAACGTGTGTACTTCTCACAAAAGCGTCGAGTGTAGGGCGTGCAGTACGCGTACGCGATCGACGTCGAGAGCATCTCGGAGACTGGCGCGGCCGACAGCATCTACATCTTTGTTTGCGGCAAAGACAGGTACACGGAAGCACCAGCAGTCGTCGATACACTTTCGTGTCTCTAGCTGTGTGCCGATCGTGTCGGCCGTCGTGACCATGCCGCTCAGCGACGTGCCGTGTGCCATGTACTAGTTCAAGACTGAGAACGACGACAATCACCTTGCATCTTATGCGTGGAGCGTCCCGATTCGGTCGCGGAGCCGCTTGCTAAAGACTGTGAGCAGCAAAAATTCCTTGTTGCGCTCGGCGTCAAGCGCCACCATTTGCCGCTCGAGCGCCGAAATCTCGAGGCCGAGCGGCTCGAGCGCGCGTAACTCGTCCTGCGCCAGCGCCAAGTGGATCTCAGCGTTGGCACGCACGCGCTGCGTCTCGAGGGCCAGAATCTCGGCTTCGAGGCGCGCACAGCGCGCGTGTTTTCCGGGCACTACGCGCTGCACAATGGTCGGCGTCGCAACGACGGGCTTGTACTCGGGCTTGGTCGCATCGTGTGTGTTTAGGTACTGCGCATGCAGGATCGGGTTGAACGCGACGAGGTGGGCGAGCGCCTCGTCACGGCCTTCCAAGACCGTCTCGAGCGCCACCTGCATCTCGTTGCGCTGCTTGTTGTACGAGAGCGCGACCGTCATGTCTTGCTTGTTGACCTCGAGCCGCACTTGATTCGCGAGCACCTTGATCTTCTCCTCGAGCGAAATCACTTCGGCGTTCGCCGCGTTGTACTTGTCGAGCATTGCACTCTTCATCGAGTCCGAGCCAATGTGCGGCAGCGTGTCGGGATCGCTTGCGGCTAATGGCGCATCGGCGGTCGGTGACGTTAAAGACACTGGTAACGTTGGTGGGACCAAAGAGGCGGGTGGAACCAAAGGGGCGGGCGAAGGAGCCACGGGTGCTGGCTGGACAACGCGGGCTGGTGCAGGTGGAGAGGCGACGGGTGTCACAATAGGCTCCTTCTTCTCGACCTTGACAGGCACGTACTTTTCCGTGTCGCGTTGTATGGCAGCGACAAAGTCGCGCGGCCAGTCGAGGACCGCCAAGCACAAGCCGCGCGCCCCTAGGCGTGGCGCGATTGCGGAAGCATCTATCGCCATGAGACATACCGTTCATGGGCAATAGCGCATGCGGCGCGCTCGAAGTACATGGACTCGTAGTGCAGGTCATGCACACGTGCTTGGTGCACGTCTCGCAGTAGAGCTCGAGCTTGCACGCGTGGCAGACGTCGCAGGCTACGCAGCTTGAAGCTCGACGCGCAAGACGCAAGGATGCAGTACCTCTGCTATGGATGACGGCGGCCGGCTCGCTATGGCGGTGCTTCTTACTGTGCTCTTTGCGCTCGCACTTGGCGCAGTAGTACGCGCCGCGACAGGCCAAGCACTTGAGCGTCGCGACCTTGCTGCACACGCTGCAGAGAAACTCGCCGTACTTGCTGGCTAGGATGGCATCGTAGCATCGCCAGCCCAAGTAGACGCATGGACGTACACAGGAGCGCTTCCTGGATGGCGCGGGCTTCGGCGGGCGGCAGCATTGCCTCGCCATGCCGGCTCATCACGGCGATCGAATTGGCCGCGTTTGAACTGTGTCGCATTTAAGTGAATTCCTATTCTAAGTACGCTTTTGGCATCGGACTTAACCGGAGCAAACAACTTGCCAAATTTCACAGGATGCTGCAGACCCTTGTGGAAATCAACGAGAGACCGCATCTCAACGGAGCTGCGATGCTATTATACGACGCAGCAATTGCTCGACTATACGCGCTTCCTCCTTGGTGCTCAACCATTTGGTGTGCCACCGGCGCATCCGCTCTATAGCCCGTTGAGGCTAGTTCTAGTTTTCGTAGTAGTGCAGTAGTTTTGGCAACCTTCTTCCCACCCAGAAGCAACACGTACACTGAGTATTTCACAAAGTTGTAGACACTACATTGTAGCTCAGTCCTGCCGTCCAGCACCACAGCTAACATCGTCGGGTTCAACCCGCAACTTTATCCCTATGGACAATAGCAGAGCAGCGGACGTGACCACGAAACGTGCTGCACCGATAGTATCGAGAAGACTTGGAGTCTTCCTCAACAAGTCCACTCCACCCCCTTGACAAGACGCAGCATTTCGATGGGAACCGTCACCCTCGGACGCCCCTTCGTCATGCGCCCGCGAAGAAAGATCGCATTTCGAAATTCTTCCATGGCCGACGCTCCCCAGTCGACGCCGCCGGCCAAGGACGCCGGCACGTTCAACTGGAACGAGATCCTCCGCGTGCAGAACCTCATCGAGCGGTGCCTCCAGCAGTGCATGTCCCAGGTACGCTGTATCGCAACTCGATCTCGGCCATCGTTTGCGTGTGTAGGCCGACATCATTGCGACGCTCCAGGCAACTACTGATGGCCGCGTCATCGCGACAAGCTCATAGTACGAATACGTAGACGCAAGCCAACGTCGACCCGACGTTTACGCGCACCGTGTGGCAAAAGCTCGAGGAGCAAAACCCGTCGTTTTTTCACGCCTACACGGCGCATTTGCAGCTCAAGGAGCAGATCTTAGCGTTCAACTACCTCGTACGACACGGTTCAGTGCATGTAGAGACTCCAGCGTCTGTAGGTGGCACAGCAGCGCGAGATGACGGAGAAGGGCACCCAGCCGGCGCCCTCCTTTCCGAGCACCACCAACAACAACAACAAGAGCAGCAGCAGCAACCCGCCCCTCTACGAAGACGTGCGCAAGTCCGATATATTTCCAGGCTTCAAGCGCGAGCCGCTGCTGTCGCCGATCAAAACGGACCTCGACACGTGCTCGTTCTTCACCTAGTCGAATAGAGGTCACGTCTTCCTCCACC